ACCAACAATTCTTGGCCAAGTGACCCTATTTTTCACAGTTATGGCACTGCACACCTTTTTTTTCTTCTCTTCTTTGTCTTTTTGATAGGAGTTTCCTTATGCTCTTTTTAAGGATTCAGAAGCCATGTCATCGACCTTATGCTTTTGAGGGTTCGACTAAGACTTCTTGCTCTGAGTATTGTCTCTTTTTCCCTTGAACTTGTTGGAACCACCATGTTTCTTCCATGTTTGAGCCTGTAGAGTTTGTATCGAATCTTAAACACATTTGCTTTCGATAATCCTCATCTCATGTGCCTCCAACGAACCAACCAAGTCTTCCAACTTCAATTTTTAAAGATGGTTGTATTCTTGAAAAAGAACGTTAACGTGATCAAAGTGAGAGGTCAATGTACACATTACCTTATCAAGTATCATCTTACCAAATAGGGTTTCACCACAACCTTTCATGAGGTGAACAAGCTTATGCACCTTCGAGACATAGCCTGCAATCTTTTCTTCTTCTTCTTCTTCGATCTAAAATAATTCATATTGCATTCGCAACCTCTGCAATTTGACGACTTTAACCTTCTCACCTCCTTCGTATTACTTGACAAGAATATCTCATGCCTCATTCGTCGATTTAGCATGAGAAATCCGATCAAAGTTTGTCGCGTCTACCGCCGATTGAATATAAAATGCAGCCTTGCAACCTTTCTTCTTGGCCTCCTTGTTCGCGACTCTTTGAACATCAGTTGCGTTCTCAGCAAACTCACGGACGTCTTTAGTAACCACTTCTAGGTTTCATAAAAGCTAAACAGAGATTGCATCTGTTTTCTCCATCGGATCAAATTCTTGCCTTCAAGAATTGTAAGAGAATTTGGAATGTCATTGTTACCATTCATCTTTGCAGCAAACACGATTAACAATCCACGATCCCAGAAACACGATCACCGACATGTAATTTTTGAAAATATGATCAAGAAACTAATTGAAGCTCTAGATACCAATTTGTCAATGCTAATGCACTTTAATGTCAAAAGAATGAGAGAAAGAGAGAGATAGAGAGTAAAAGAGAAATAATTGTATTATTAGATTGATATTAAAATTGAATTACAATATATTTTTATAAAATTATGTGATTTAACTACTAAATAATAAATATAACAAACTCTAACTCTAACCACTTATTTATAACTTGAATTATATCACGATGTGTCAATTTTCTGTATGGTTAAAATCTATTATAGTTTTTTAATTTAATAATTTAGTGTTAATGTATCATTTAAAGGTGAACACTATGAAAATTTATTGTTTGGCTAAGCATGTGTCATTCTTCTAAGAATTTAATATATTGTTTAAAAATGTTAATTCATTTTAAAATAGTTTAAATTTTAAATGAATTTACTACAAAAACCCAAAAATAAAATTATAGTAGTATGAAAGAATTTTCTTTTCTTAAAACGTGAAAGAGTAGACATAGAAAAAATCTTTTATAATTACTTAAATTAAATTATCAATATCTTATAAGGACAAAAAAAACATATTTAATTAAACAAAAATCATTAAGTACCGTAAACGAAACCAATAACTTTTACGCTTTGCTTATTAAAAACACGCTAGCTTTCAAGTTCTTTATTTAGGAAACATTTTTTTTTCTTTCTTTTATCAAATTAATAACATAATACTCCCTCTAATCTATATAATACTCCTATATAAAAAAGTTTAGTTTATGAAATTGATTGAATATCGAATATATTAATTTTATATAATAAATTAAATATATTATTCAATCCATTTTAAAATAAATATTTTTTAAAACTTTTAAAGAATATAATAATTTTGTTGGATGATATTACATTTTTATTAAATTAAATTATAATTAAATAATATAATTAAAAAAAATAATTGGTATACATCGACAGTGTATTAATTAATTAATCACTCTTGTATATCCTACAATGTAAAACTGTAATTTTTAAGTTAACAATATGACATGACAAATTAATAAATTTCTATTGAATGATAATCTAAAGTTATTTTATATTATTAGTACATATCATATTTAAAAAATAACAACCATTTGCTGAAAAACAAAAATAATATTTTTTTAAAAACAAATTTTAGTATTTATTAAAACGACAGTTATTTTAAAAGGGAATGTAGTATTATGTTAATAAATTTATTTATTTTAAATAAAGAATAATGAGATTAAGATTTTTTGTTTCACAAGAGAATTATAATATTCATATTTTTAACAATTATTTTAATATTAGTCAAAATGTAAAAATATTTTAAATTATAATCATGTAAAAATATTCTATTGAAATGTCGTGGATTAAAATACATTCTACAAAATATAAAAATTAGTGTAAAAAATAGTTTACAATTTCTAAGTCAATTGATAAAAATTAATACTAATAAATTTAAAATTATTATCTATATTCGAATTCTATATAAAAAAATTTACCAAAAAGGAAAATTCATATAAAAATTGAGCGTGAATTTCTAGAAATAATTGTCATTTTGACTATAGATAAAAATAAAAAAGTTAGTAGAAGATATTTTAATTGCTGCTATCCATCGCTATTGGTGCGCTGTGCCAACGCATAAGAGTACCTACCAACAAACCCTACCCACAGCTAAGATAATGCTTTAAGAATTGGAAGATAATTATTAAGTACTGTAACAGTTACCTTTCTTTTCTTCAACCATAATATCTCAACAACTCTATCCCCCATTCCATTCCAACACTTACTTACTCTTTAATTTTGTTACGAAATATAATTCGTTACAACTAACATCACTTTGTGATAGCAAAATGACAGATCAAGAGCAACCAAAAAAGGTGGAAACTGTATCAAGCTCTAATCCTTTGTCACTGCCACCACCAAAGGAAGATGTGGCTCAGGAGAAATCTGTAATTCCTCAACCTGATCATCTAGATCACAACCCTCCTCCTCCTCCTCCTCATCCTGTTGTTGATGATTCCAAAGCTCTTGTTGTAGTTCAGAGTATGTCACTCTTATCAATATTTTTTTTCTTTTCCTTTTAAATCGAATTCATTTTCGTTTGTAATTTATCTGAATATTTTTCGTTGTTTTTAGCGTGTGTCGCGGTAATTTTGATGTAAACTAACACTTTGTAGCTTTTATATATAAGAGAAACAGTTGTGACCTGCCGTTAAAAATTTTCTGCAGTTTTAACGGCAAAATTGAATTTTTAGCTCTAATCTTTGGATTTTCTTTGTCTTCTAGTGTCTGTTTTCTTACGATTTTAATTTCTTTTGTAAATTATTTTAACTTGAAGGGAAGATTTTATGTTTTTTTTTTCAAAAATAAAATTAATACATGTCCTATTGTGTTTTATGCGTGAGTTCTGAATTACTTTGTGATTTGTGTTTCCTTGGCTTTTTTATAAGCTTTTTTTGCCAGAATTTCTGAAAAAGGGTAATAAACTTTGTATTAATCAAAATAAAAGTTTAGTTTATTAAATAGACTGATTTGTAACTAATGTTCCATTTTTTGTATATTGAAAATATGTGCATATTTGAAGGGAGAAAAGAAACACTAATATCATTCTGCTGTTAATTTGGTTACTAGCAGAAACTGATGAAGCTGCTGAAGAGAAACCACAAGAGGGCTCTATCAACCGAGGTATGTCCCTTCGCATTGTGGCACTGCTTTTCTTTGTAATGGTTATATTTAGTATAAGACGTTTTTAAGCTGAAGATATATATGAAATAATTCTTCTCTTTATATGTTTCATATATTAACATTACAAACTATGACATTTCATTCTTTTTCAGATGCGGTGCTTGAAAGAGTTGCAACAGAAAAGAGGCTGTCACTAGTCAAAGCATGGGAAGAAAGTGAAAAGTCTAAAGCAGAGAACAAGTAAGACTAGAGCTTGCACCATCTATTGCTTTTTCACACTTGAAGTGCTTTTTTTAGTTTCAATTTGTTAGTTTTGCATAAAACATGAAAAAGCTTGTTGAAGAACTTAAACAAAAATAAGTGGAAAACAGATTATAAACATGTCTGATGAGTAACTTATGCCAGTGAATAATCTGAAATAAGTTAATCCAAACATTCTCAAGTCATTGCAGTAGCTAACCTTCTAATAAAATATCAATTTGTCTAGAAATTCAATACAATCCATTTTCAAGTCAAATAGGTATCAGCTATTTGTTTTGCCATGTTAGCTTGCTACTTTAACATCACATATTCATATTATTTTATCAATTAATGACTTGTTTTTTAAGTTATTCAACAAGCTTTTGTATACTAATCTAAATGAATTTGATGAGCAGGGCTCAGAGAAAACTTTCAACCATTACAGCATGGGAGAACAGTAAGAAAGCTGCAACAGAAGCTGAATTGAGAAAACTTGAGGTAAAAACTTATTTTTCAAGTCATATAACATAACATTGAATGGGACAAAATATAGAAAAACAAATACAACTTTAACTTTCACTGTGAATAGGAACAACTAGAGAGGAAAAAAGGAGAATATGCAGAGAAAATGAAGAACAAAATAGCATTACTTCACAAAAAAGCTGAAGAAAAGAGAGCTGTGATTGAGGCCAAGAAAGGAGAAGAGTTACTCAAAGCAGAGGAGGTTGCTGCAAAATACAGGGCAACTGGAACAGCTCCAAAGAAACTCTTTGGTTTATTCTAATGCTACAATCCTCGAGCCAAAAAAAATGATGTCTTGTTTTAATCATATGTACTTTCTTCATGTGTGGTTTGGTGTCTTTTTTAGTCTGTTAATTTATTCTGTGTGCATAGTGATATATATTGGCTTGTATATATCCATTACTTTGGAAATAAAACAATTTAATTCTTATTCAGTTTGTGCAATAAAAATTTCTTGTAGCATAATCAGTAATATAAGATCCAAATTCATGTAACCAAAATGCACATTTGAGTATTTTGCCTGGTGGATGCATTTACAAAATTGAAGATAACCTAAATGGCAAAGATAACTAACTATTCTACATATATCATATGGACGAGAGTATCTTAGTCATATCTACCATCAAGGATATTCAAGAAATTGTCAGTGTGTCCCAAGAATTCAATATCATCAGGCATATGTAACAGGTGCTTAAGTGCAGAATCAGAAGTATCAAGAAATTCATAATTTCCTGAATCTGAACCAGCTCTATCGTCTCCAAGCTTTGGTTTATAGCTGCTTAATGTTTGTTTGCGAGGCATGTTTTGTTCCTGATTCATGTTGGCAATTTCAAGCTTTGGAGTTGTTGACACTTTAAGGCTTTGCGTGTTTTTCACCTGCGACGAGACATCTGAACATGACTCGTCTAACTTCGCCGACGATAGTGATGAGGCCGATGCTTGGGAGACTAGACTATGGGACGCCAGTTCCTCCTTTCCCTTGATCATACGAAAGGACTGACCAACATCAGAATTCCAAAGTTTAAGAAAGTAATCCGGACATGTTTTCGTCGTAGAGCCTGAATTGTGTAATGTGGATTCAATCGACAATCTTGCCTCTGCCTCAACCCTCGCACTTTCCCATTGTACCATGTGATTCGTTGAAGGAGCATTCGACTGGACATTCCTATCAGAATTAAGACATGAATGTTTTTCCCCTAGTGACCGAGGGACGCGCTTCTTTAGATGTGTGTTCCAATAGTTCTTGATCTCGTTGTCTGTTCTTCCTGGTAGCTGCGATGCTATAGCAGCCCACCTAAACAATTGCATGGTTACCAGTTACATGAAAAGTGAATGCAATATCACAAGTAGAGATCAATGCAAACAAGATGTGAAGAGGAAATGCAGCAGTGAGGTACCTGTTGCCAAGCATTGTATGAAGTTGAATAATAGTAGTTTCTTCTTCATTCGTAAATGGTCCACGCTTGATGCCAGGACGAAGATAGTTTATCCAACGAAGCCGACAACTTTTTCCACATCTTAAAAGACCTAGTTGTAAACATAAACACACATTAATAAATCAAAAAGGTATATGCAAGTCTTCATCTTACTATCTTACAGTCTAAAAATTCCACTCTTCTCATAGTAAATATCTTGTATACATTAAATATGAATGGAACTGAGGTGAAATTGGCTCGAACCTTACTCGACTTAGACTCATGGACAACGCAGTTTAGCTCAATCGTTTGAATCACATAAACCAAAAGACAAAACATACCATAACAACAACATGGTCTGCTAGAACTTTAAGCTCAATAAGTAAAAGCAACCACAAACCACTTCACAATCACATATAATTAAGATTTAATGCAGCATAACCATAACCAAACACAGGCTTAGTTACAACTGAAAATATTCATATTAGCCCATTGCTGATGCACAATCATCCACCCTTTTATGAATGATCAGCAAAAAAGAAAAGGCAGCATAACATGCAGTAACTGCAGCAAGGAGAACACAACTAGGAGCAACAATAAGGTTTTACTCAAGATAAAAACATTGCCAGAATGTCTTCAAGAGTAAGTAAACTCAGAGAGTTTTCACCTAACAACATGTTCAGATCATAGTTTCCACCTCCCAAACCCATTTCAGAATGCACAAACTAAATTTCATTCAAAGAAACAACCTATTTAGCAAAGAAAATACTTCAAAACTATTATGAAATCATACTCTTAAACCTTGAAGAACATGAAAACTAAAACATCTAAGAAAGCAACATGACATAAAGTTGTTTAAATCATAAAAACCATACTACAATACAATATTCTTCTCAAGCTTCAAAACATTCCGAAGTTCGAATAAAGAAAGAAAAAAGACAGAAACAAAAAGCACCTTACAAAAAAACACAGGCAAAGAAAAAGGCTATATCTATAAGAAAAGTTGCACAGTACCTGCATGCTTAGGGAGTGTACGCCAACTTCCATGGCCATGTTTGTTGATATAGTCAGCTAAAGCTTGATCTTCCTCAGGAGTCCAAGCTCCTCTTCTCACTCCATGTTTCTCACAACAAGGAGCTTTACCCATTTCTGACTCTCACCAACTCATTACCAACCCATGAGAACAACAATAAATTCACCACATTTAATAATAACTCAAAAGTTTGTCTTATTCTAAATACTGTCTTTAATACCCTCGTAGAAGCAAGACCGATGAAAACAAATTGAGAGTCTATTTTTCATCACCACAAGAGTAAGTAAGAAGATATGTGTAAGAGAGAGAAGAGTGTTGTAGAAGTAAACCGACTTAAAAGTTGGTCATAAATGCATATACGTACTATAAGATAATAATTGCATATAAGAGAGAATAATTTAGAGAAGGGAAGTGGAAAGTGAAGTGTTGCAGAGGACCCCCACTGAGATGTCACAGAAGATAACCCTGAAAAGGGTCAATACTGTTTTAGTTTCAGATACAGAAAACGAGGATTCCAAAGTAAATGCAATAGTAGAATTTCTTTTCTTGTTACGTCATGGTTGTTTAAGGGTCAATTTGAAAGAGAAAACGTTGAAGCGGTGGATTGGAAAGAGAAGACAGAAAAGACAAGACAATGAGTTGTAGAATCAAGAACATAGATTATAGTAGTATCAGGCACAGCAATGAATGTTTATTGGTTAAGGTGATACATTTATGATATGAACTCAAATTGTATAACGTGTCAAACCATTCCCCAACGTGGGATTAGTACAGTACAATTCATTTTTCTTGATTTTCATTTTATGTTTGGCAGTAGTAGGGTGGGGAAATGTCGCATTAATATGCTGTGGATACATTCAAAAAATCATATTGACTTTATACCGACTTAATGAACCAAACTGAACTGTACACAAGTTTAATCGAGTTGAGCATATAAAAGAAGTTGATTTATAAACTTGTTTTTAGGCATGTTATAATGAATAAAATATATATTACTAATTGATATAAAATATTTATCTATTAGTTTTTGTTAGGTAAAATGGGTCAAACTAACTTCAATATTCACTATGTCTTGTATAGGCTATAATCAATGGTAACAATACAAAAGAGTGGGCTTAAGACTAATTAGGTCCAACAAGTCTAAGACAGAAAAATAAACCCAACAAACTATCCCGCTGATCTCTATACAACACTACAACAACTACAAAAAAAACAAAACTGAATTAAACAGTAAAATACAATTCACTTGATGAAGTTTGAGTCACACATTCCCAAGTCCTCCTTTTATTTAAAAAGAAGGTTTCAACTTTCAATGCCTTAGTCATAATGTCTGCCAATTGATCATCTGACTTGCAAAATTTCAATTCAATAACTTCATCATTGATAAGTTTGTGTTAGTTTTCAAATTCAATTTCTGATTTTAATTAAAGAAATAATAAAGAGAATTACGTGAAGTGATGATAGTGTTTCGACATAGCTATACTTGTTTGCTTTGGTCAAAACAGTCCTTTGTGTGAAGAGAAAATGCTAAATAAGATGTGAAAAAAAAATATTTTGAAGATGGTTCGATAAAGATGATATTTCGACGCGTGATTTAAATTCAAATAAAGGAGAGAACTTTTGTTCTTATCCAGATTTGTGAAGAAAGACACGTGAAGTTTTTCTAAGGAAATGAGACATGCCAAACGCCACTTGTCATTTGTTTGTAGTATAATCGTTAGGATCGTTTATTTTTTATCATTATAAATAGAAGGTTTCAGTGTTAGGATCGGGGTGTTCCAAAATTTATACAAAATCTCTGAAATTACTCAAAGTATCTGTGTGTAGAGAAAAAGAGTATGTCGAAGAAAATGTACGTTTGATTACACTATATTTTTATTTTTTAATGCAAATTTTATCTTTTTACCACAAAGTCTATCTCTTTATTATTCAAGTTATTTAATTGTCTTTGATCAAGTTTCTGCACTTTACTTCTTCTAAATTTTGAAGTTTTTAGTTGTTAGATCATGGATAATATTGAAATCTTCATTATTTTCCAAACTTTTAATTAAGAATTGCTAGCACATGTCTTAGAATTTGTGTGGTCGATCTTGTACGCAACTCAATTCTTTTTCAATTGAAAAGACCAGCGGTTGTTTACTATTTTTCCCAGTAAACAAAATGGCACACCCGGTGGGACAGTGTTAGTAGTGTTCTTGTCGTAATTTTGTTTGTTATCGTTTCTCTTTGAAAATTCTGTTGCATGTTATTGAGAAGTTGCAAAGTAGCCACCAGTAACGAGGATAGACCAGGGAGAAGGTATACTAAGAAAATGGCGAATTCCAATCAGCCAAATGTTTCAATTCCTCAAAGTTCATCGAGTAATAATCGAGAACAACCCCAAGTGTCTTCGATTGGGGTGACAACTGTCTCAATGACTGTATCAGAACCAATGTCATATATGGCAAGTTCGATGTCCACACAATCGATTACCCATAGTGAGTCCATTCTAAATTATACTGGGCCAAAGGGCCCTCCAGTAACTTCTCCATCAGTGGGGATTGCTTCAAATAGGTCGTTCATGCCCCCAGGTTTCTCTATACCTTTTGGCAATTGAGATCAATCATATGAAATGCCAACATCCATGATGGCGAATTTGCATAACATCACCTCAACATTCTCAGAACCTGTAGTGAACGTTACTTCGCCATTACAAGGGTCAGGCTCTAGGATAAACATGGATCGAAATAGCCAACCTGTAGGAATGGGTTATTCCACCCAAATGTCAAACTTGACCAATAACTCGGCAGCAGTTATTAGGCAACAAATGGGTGATAGTAACCACGAAATGGTCCAAATGTTAGCCCAAACAATGGGAACGATTCTTAATCCCCTAATATAAAGCACCACTTAATCCAACCAATAAATAACGGCGCAGATGACACATATTACAGATTTTTTGAAGTACCATAGCCTCCTCGACATCCACAAAAAGAATACATATTGGCAAATCAGGGAGTAACCCTCGAAGATGATCCCACTATTAATCAGTTTCAACAAAACCAAGGAGATCTGCCCCATGTAAATCTAGCTGATACAAGAGTGGTACTCGAATAACCTAGAGTCGAAATTCCTAGAGCCCAACCTCAAATTCCCACCGAGGAGAGACCTAGGATAGTAATGGTGAATAGGGACCAAAATGCTGATAATGTTTTACAACATATTCGACGTGATAATATGGCCGCATATAACAATTTAACAGCCATGGTTGACAGAATAATGGTGCGAAACAGAGTAAGTTTTGGTATTCAGAGACCAAACTATACTTCGCCACTATCAGAATATATTTTACAATCAGACTTGCCACCTAGATGGAAAGTCCCTAAGTTTACTAAGTTTTCGAGGGATACCATCAAATCCACTGTAGAACATATGGCAAGGTATTTGATAGAGGCTGGAGAGATTTCGAATATTTTAGGATAAAATATTTTCTAAGTTCTCTCACCAAAAATGCTTTTACATGGTTCACAACCTTGCAATCAAATTGAATCCATAATTGGAATCAGTTATAAAGGTTGTTCCATGAACAGTTTTATATGGGACAAACCAAGATTAGTTTGAAGGAATTGGTCAGTATCAAACAAAAGTTCATTGAGCCAGTAAATGACTATTTGAACAAATTTCGTTTACTTAAGGCCAGGTGTTTTACACAAGTCCAGAGCACGAACTGGTCGAAATGGCCGCTAGAGGTCTAGATTATTCTATTAGGAAGAACTAGATACCCAGTACCTAATAGATATGGCCCAATTGGCTGGTAGGGTTCGACAATTAGAATGTTTGAAAGAAGAAAAGGCTATGGCAAATAAAAATAAGAGGGCAACCTACGTCGAATTTAATGAAGATGATGAGGGTCGGTATAATGAGCCTTCAAACTTCGACGAAAGTGAGATCGATCTCACTGAATTAAACCAGGGCCCCCCTTATTCAAGTAAGGTCTTAGCTCCCTCATACGGCAAGAACCCACTTGAACCTGATAAAAACGATAGGTTCCCTAAGAGAACTTACACCTTTGACGTCACCAAATGTGACAAAATGTTTGACTTATTAGTTAAGGATGGTCAAATGATAGTGCCTCCCGGTGCTAAAATATCTCATTTAGAGCAAAGGAAGAAAATAGGGTTTTGTAAATATCATAATTTTTGAGTCATAAAACTTCTCAATGTTTTCTTTTCAGGGATCTTGTTCAAAATGCCATCAAGTACGGGAGATTGAGGTTCAGTGAGAAAGCAAAGGCTCAGATAAAAATCGACGTTGACCCTTTACAGATAGCTGACGCCCATTTCACTGAGCCTGTTGTTGTCAATATAATCGAGGTTACTGATGATTTCTCTCATAATGTCAACATGGTCGAAGTCACCAGTGACTTCGCCAATGATGCTGTCATGATTAAGATCACTGAGGGTCTTGACAAGGAAATTATAAAATATTGTCTATGTGGGGTTACTGATGGCTTCACCAAAGGAGCCGTCGAAGTTATTAATAACAGAACTGCTGATATTTGACTTAACTAAAATCACTGAGGATTCCAATTTGATAATAGTGACCAAAGAGACCGATGACTGTTTCGTACGGATGGACAAGTTTGTTGATGACCTTACAATGGAATTTCAAAATATGGAAATTGCTAAAGATGTTGCGATGAACATTAACATGGTCAAATTTTCACAACAAACTTTGACGGAAACTGAAGAGGAGCGTTGTCAGGAGGAATATAACAAGGTAGCCTTCCCAAAGGAAAAACAGGGTCTCATCAATTTTTTAAACAGATGTCAGAAGAAAAACTCGCAGGTTATGCTCTGTCCTAGGTGTAGCGACGTGTTCGACAAAAAAACAGCTCAAAACATTGAGGGAGTTCGATTGACAAAGGCCAGTAGAAACTGGAAGGATCTTGGTAGCCACCAATCCTTCGATAAGAGAGGGACATACAAGAGGCAGAATTAAGAGAAGCAGAGGTTCCCAGGTACCAGGCCCACCACTTTCAAGCCAACTGTAGAGGCTTCTAGAGGAAAATGGGCGAAGCCAATTGAAAATAGAGAGCAAGGCCAACTAAAATGGCAGAACTTCGAGGTTGATAG